TCCTAGTCTGAGTAGTAGATGCTCCTCCATTCCTTCTAAAAGGTGGGGATACAATCTTCATGACAGTAGGATCCAACTTGGTTGCACGATAATACAACAATCCATACTGAGGATCATCGAGAGACATAGAATTGAGTTGCTTAATGAGCCCCTCAATCTCATCGATGGGTTCCAAAGATGTAGCTGAACTATCCTTGACCTTTGATGAAGGTTCTTTAGGCGTTTTGGAGCCAGAATGATTGCCTTTGTGTTTAGAGGCTTCCTTGACACGCGAGTGTTTCTTGTGGGATTTCTTTGTGGATCTGCGAGACTTTGGCTCAAGTTCTTCCTCCGAATCGCTTGACGTAGTGTCAGAGCTAGTAGAGTCAGAAGAGCTGGTCTCAGTGTCCGAAGGAGAGGTTTCAGTCTCATCCTCGGAGATGAGCAGATCGGCATCAAAGCGGTCCCGGTGAAGTAACTTCTCTGCGGTCGAAGTAACCTTTTCAACAGCAAATGCCTTTGACAAATCCTTATCAGGATCCTTTGCCATAAGGCGGCTTTCAATCTTTGCCCGAAGGCCTTTGTAGATTCCTTCCCAAAAGTAAGAGGCAAACTCATCTTTTGTGATTTTCTTTGCGGATTCTAACCAACCCGCAATCGTAATGAACCCTCTTACATACTTTTTCCAAGCAGCAAGAGTCGGGATACGTTTCCCCCTTGTAGCCTTGACATAGGCTAATAGATCCTTCCTCTTGTATCTCTTTGAATCGAGGTCGGCATCATAGTATTTTAGGATGTCCGCCTTAAGAGCATCCCAGTTGGGAGTTCTAAAGGAAGGTAATCCTTCAATAAATTCCTCGACATTGCGAGATGTGTACTGTGTCACAGTCTCGCATTTTTCCTTGTCCGAGAGCACTTGGTTGTAATCACACAACTTTTCGTAGTGCTTCAAGAACTTTTTCACCTTTGAGAAGTCTCCCTTGAACTTCTTAGGTGCGGCTTTACTACCCGGGATGGGCATAGTAAGGATGGATAGTGCCATGGTACTAGACGATGGTGCCATGGTAGATTTCGACGAAATATGCGCAAATAGGATTCAGGTAGATTCCTGAACACGATAGGGTATTTGCTCAAGGATGGAGCAAATACGATAGAACAATTTGTGCAAGAACCAAAGAAGCCTCCCTCGCGGTGGGCTCCAGTGATGTCTTACTACTTGAGGGTCTTATATGTTTTTGTGTAAATGTAGTGACACCACAACTACACTTTGATAAGACAAGAGTTGCCAACTCCTCAAGTACACGGTCAACGGATTTTCTAGTTTTCTCGGTTGATAACGTGTCGTTCGTGGGAGGCTCGACTATACAGTCTGTCGTTGGTTCTTGGAATGGGGTTTGGTTTTTGGATGGGTGGATAGACCTAGACGATAGGCCTGATACGATGAACTGCGTAGAATAGATGGACTAGACTACGTTGACGAATGGTTTGTCCGAATGATCCTTGGACAAATATACGAGTGGATGCGCTACACAACACTTGGCTGAAGTGTGTGGATCCTTTGATGAACGAGGGACCTTTGGTATGGAGCAAAAATCCTTGGTGGTGTGGATTTGGGAAGCTGACTAAGCTTGACCCAAGCAAGTCCTTGCTGAGCTTACTCGAAGCAAGATATGACTTGTGGCAGATTTGTCCGAATGATCCTTGGACAAATGTGTGGTGAATGGGAAGCTGACTAAGCTTTTCCCAGACAGATCCTTGCTGATGTAATCAAAGCAAGAATATCTCCTGAAGAGTTCTTTGTCCAAACAGCTCTTGGACAAAATATATGGGTTGTGTGGGATGCTGACTAAGCTTTTCCCAGACAAATCCTTGCTGACTTAATCAAAGCAAGGAAACAGCAGTTCTAGAACAAAGGACTAGAAAAGAAGGTTAGGGTGACTAAATGCCCCTAACAACAGTAAAGATAGCACAAGACTAAGATTATATCAAATCTTAGTGTAGTAAGGCTGTCAGTATCAGCCTGCACTTCAGATGATAGATGTGAAGTGGGAAATCTCCAATATGGGGAGTGTCTCATTTCTCCTCAGAGAATTGAGCCTCCTTATATACATTTGGTGTGGGAAATATCCCAGGAACTGTATAGTACCAAGAAAATAGAAAGAGACACAAATCTCAGAAGAAATAAGGTAGTTGTAGCATAAAATGCAGAATTGAAGTGGAAAGAACACCAAAGGAGGAAAATGACTCATTCTGACTCATTTGACAGCAAATGACATCACTGTGGAGCAGTGTGGAGCATTTGTGGAGCAAAGTGGAGCTGAATGATATCATTGTGGAGCTATGACATCAAATGACATCATTGTGGAGTTATGACATCAAGTGACATCGTCCAAGATCAAATGACTCAATTCTGGAGTCACATGACTTCTCCTAGGGTTAATTACATGTTATGTAAGCTCAGATTGTGGCTGAAGCTCACATAACGTGCACAAATAAAAAAGAACAAGAGAAACAGAAGCAAGAAAGTCAACAAAGATAAACGTAAACAGAAGTAAATGAAACACGAGCTTTCTGCCACTTTTTACTTCTCTTGCCTCAACATAGAGTAATTAGTCTAAAGCGAAAGCTTTTTGACTAGTATACCCTTATCCTATTGAATGTCAATGTATGATCTTCGTTTCATGCATGACAACGATGCAGAGCGAAAAAATGACGAAAAAAAAACCCAGCACCCTACTAGCGCCGTCCACCCAGCTCACGCCCGCCATCCGCTACTCGTCTCCGTCTGATCCAGTGAACTCGTTCGTAACCAGCTGTAGAAGAAGGTAGTTAGCTCGTGTATACTCATAGTAGAAGAAAAAACGCACCAATCAATGTACCTGCTCTACATGCCATAGCCATAGCTCTGATTCAACGTCGCAGCAACACCGACCGTGCCAAAAGGGCTCACGTTAGCATATCCAGCAATGTCCATATAGCCAGTGGTGTTGGTATGAGGGGGTGTCAGGCTCGCGCTATGAGGAGAGGTGCCTTGCAAGACATATCCGTCAATCGAACACGCCTGAAGACCGTGCATATGGGGACCGATGTGAGAATGACCGCAGGCAAATGCCTTCGACGAGGAGCATATTAAGCCGACCACTGTCCAAGCCAATCGCTGTCCACAATTGTTCAACCCATAAGGGTCTTCGACACGGTATTGTTCGAAACAGAATGCATATGGCCGAGTGTGCAGTGAATATTTCCAGAGTCGTGCAAAATACCTGGACCTGTGCACGTGCACTGCAGAAAATGCAGGATTTGTGTTTGTTCGTGCAAAAATGCAGGAATGTGAGGGCTGCAGCAGTGCAGAAATGTAAAACTGATTTTATTTTCGGAGTGTAGGATTGTTTGTATCGATATACATCAATGTTCTTCGTTTTATATTTTATTGTACCCATCTCATTTGATTTATATCAACCTCTATTTTGCTCGTTTTCACTGGGGATCAGTGACTGAACGTGCCCTAGACTTTGGGATCAAATGTTTAGGATCAGTGCAGTTTGAGCTACACGTGAACCTGAGAACATTTAGCTCAAACTAGTGCTTACTAATCGAGTGATCGCGTAACTAAGACGTGTCTCGATACACACGTCTTTCATCTCGCTTTCTTTACGCGCTCACTCTCTCATTCTTCTTAAGTGAGAACTCGGCACCTTATTGTTATTCCATACAGATCTAGCCGCTACTAGACATGACCAATATCGTGTCTTGTTCTGGTTTGCCAGGGGGCGTTGGCGGAAAAAGTACCGCAACGCTCGTCCCAAGCACTGACGCGGATGTCGTAGACGTCGACAGAATCGCAGAAAGCCTCGGTAGGCCAAGGTCCCGACGGGAATTATCCCTGAGGGATCTGATCCAGAGAGAAAATGACGCGCGTACAGCTCGTAACAGCGAACGTGCTGATCGGAGAGACACAACTTCGGGTACTGTATCCGATGACGAGCCAATGCTCGATGTCCCGAGCCTCGACCCGCGTTCCTTGCCTGATCCGGGGCCTATTGACACCAATACCCCATTAATCAACGCATATAGGGCAGTTAACGCGCTTACACCGCATTCTCGATCAGCCTTCGACTCTCTCATGGTGGAACATCATCAGGACGTACAAGCTCCCACTTCTGCACCCCCAGCGGTGTCCAGCACCACATCTACGGTCAAACAACTTGCATACAACGACGATGAGATCAAGATGGTTTCATCCATAGACGACATTTTTGAAATCCCACGCGTGATCATTAATCTTGCAGACTCAAAAATGCACGTGCCTCTCACGCTCTTAACGGCAGAAGCCATGGAGAAGATTCATAATGATCCCTCGTGCATCATTATGAAAAAGGGTCTCGTTCTAGACGATCCCAAGAAGTCGGTAATGGACGCCTCGGGCTTCCCTCCGGAATCATCCTTGTCTCCTGCGCAGTTCTACGAAGCTTACGAGAACTTCATGGAGCTACTTAACCACATCGCAGGCGCAGCCATCAAGGAGAAGTTCAGAAAGCACCGACTGTTCTGCCTCTCCCACAAGAGGTTTGAAGAGAACTTCACGGCTGTGCTCACGTTCGACATCGAGACTCGCCGCATATTTTTCAACACCAAGTCCTTCTTGACTGAAGCAGCTTACGAACGTCGTTGGAACGACACACTGACGAAGATCTCGAGGGATAAGTCCAATGAGGCAGCTGCTAACGCCAACAGAGAGCTCAATAGGCTCACCGCTTTAGCATCCCGCCTCGAAGGCTCTAGCGGCGGCAATGGGAACCGTTACCACCCGTACCAGAGCGCAGTCAAACCAAGATCAGACGCCCCAGCTCCATCGTCCTCTGATGGAAAGCCCTTTCGAAGGGGCAAAGGGGCCTCCTCCGACAGACCCCTTTGCCTCCTCTGTGGTCGGAACGGCCACAAACATCAGGAAAACCCTCCCACACAAAGCTAGACAAAGATATGCAAAATTATGCAAACTTGAATAAAAAGACAATAATATTACAAGCTATAGATAAGGTTGATGATTTCTCGCTAAACTTCAACATTCTTCAATGAAGTTACAATGTGCTATCTAACCGTCACAAATGTATGCCTATCAATGTAAGAATTAACATAAAAAGTGTCACATTGCTCGAGGACTTCGCTACTGGTCCATTGACGAGGTGCGACAGGTCCGAACTTTGGAATGAGATGGACACTTCGGTGGATGTTTGTGACGGGTATGATGCTCGCAACTCTCTCACCCGATTGCACGAAGCGGCTGATTTTGAACATTCCATGGTTCGAATCAGCTGTAGGAGGAAACCGAGTGAACCACTCTACATAGGCGAGATGTTTGGGAGGCTGGATTGCGGTAGGGAACATCATTGTAACAGCATTCTGCAGGATTGAGAATATTACGCGAATCTGACCCACACGGTAGCCTGTTGAAAATTCATCATTTGACTGCCTAGCATCCTCGGGAATCAAAAACTGACCTTCAATACCTGCAGAACGGCCAGTCCCATCATTAATAAGCACAGTATCAAATCGTGCTGGGACATCAGCGCCTTTTTGACTGGTGGTCACACGGCGAGGTTTGACATGCGCGCTGTCCACTGTGACACATGGGTCACCATGTCCCTGTGCACCATCAGATCGCCATTTGATTATATGATACACAGGAAGTGTGCGGAATGGAAGGTGGATAGCAGCAGCAAGGTCCTCGAGGCGGCGACGAGTGGTGGCTTCGTGTGGATGATGCAGCTGTGCAACATATCTTGCAAGCGCCTCACGGAAGTACGTGGCCCCATACTCCGTGATTAACTTCTGAATTGGCACAGCTTTCATGCTAGGATGCTTCGTTAATGTTTGAACCCGGTCGAAAGACAGGTTTGCTGGACGAGGTTGGTGTCGAATGGGATTGCCGTGGAGGCGCCACATGACATGTCTCTCATGTCAAGCGATCTTCTCTTTGCGTTCAAGCCACTGAGTCATTTGAACAAACTCATCTTTGTGGTTTGTTGCACGATATGCATCTTTGGCCAAGTCGATGTGGAGGCGCTCAGTATATTCTGTATTATAATTGTCAGTTGTGCCAAAAGTCTGGATCATCGACATATAGTGGCGGCCTGCATGGAGCTTTGGAAGATTAAAATTGTTTTGTATTCCAAGGTCGACGAAGATCTGCTTGTTGTTGTGAAAAAGATCGAGAGCTTCTGTGAGGAGAGTCAATGTTTCGGAGCTGTGGCAAGGATACTGCGCCAAGTACAGGAAGTCAAGTAGACCTCTGACAGCACATATGAGACAGCTTGGGGCAAGACGGTGTGGGAGAAATCGTAGAAGTCCGCTATAGTGATAGCGTACCGATCCTGCTGGGTGCGAGAATAGTAGTCGACCCAAGGGGATAGCTCTGAGAGCAGTTCCTCAAGTATGAGCGAGGGGAACAGTGAAGAAGGAAGTGATGCGCTGAAGACAGAACGGCTGTGTACGCGAGGAGATGCGGAGATGCGAGAATGCGCGGAGATGCGAGAATGCGCGGAGATGCAAGGTATGTGGAGATGCGAGGTATGCAGATGCAGAGATGCGAGGTATGCGGATGCGGAGAAACGAGTGAATATCTAGAGGGTACCAGGTATGCGAACGGGTAGGGTAACAGGTGTCGGAACAGGTAATCGGGTAGAGCGAACTAGGTACCAGGTATATGCAAAGACGTGCAGAAACCGCCTTGCAAAGGAACTCAACTAGGACTAGCAATAGTCAACTGTCAATGGCAATGCGAGCGTTCGCGCGGGATGAGAAGGCAAACAGATGATTGCTCAAGCAAGGAATGACAAGGTAAGACTAAGCTAGTGACTCCGCAACACACAACCAGAGAGGGAATGTAGGAAAGTACTGGATACGAGTCCGCAACGTAGTATATATCATAGTCCGTAAGAAACCGGAACTGTATAAGCGAGCGCATATGTACGCGAAGTCGGAGGGGATAATATGTAAGTAGCGCTATGCGACCTCATGCATGGGAACGGTATGCGCATAGTTCTGCGAATGATCAGGATCCAGTAATAAGAGATAAGAACGCACCAGTGGGAACTGACAGATACGGACAGGATATGGACGGACAGTACGTTGCGATGCGATGTGATGCGTGCGTGGATTCCGCAACCTCGTGTGATGGTCCGCAACGGCCTGTGGAAGGTAGGCATGACTTCGTCCAGTAAGGGGAATTGGTGCCGTACGGGGCTGCAGCCTGGGCGTCTCCTACAACGGTTGGGGAGTCGGATGTCGATGATGATCCCAAGTAGAAAACAGCATATCTGACTATGCTCTGTACCACTGATTTGTGAGAGGCTAGTGATACCTTTCATAAATAGACGGATATGGTGATTTGGGGGGAGCCTTCGACATCTTCCATCAATCTCAGCTGCTCCGAATGCCTCGGCCAGCCAACCAAGGAGATGCTTGATAAGACCCTGGTATAATTGGTGAAGCACATCTGGTGTAACGGCTTGGAAGATGTTGGTATAGGGTAGGGGCTCCCAGAACGGATGTATAATGGGCTTGATTCCGGCTTCGCGGCATGCATGTACAAATGCAAGATCTCTGTTATCAATCGCAGCCAATGCATTGAGGACAGCATCGAGGTTGCGCATCTCGAAAGGTGCGGCATTGCTTCCGAGTTCGGCTGGTGGTATGTCACATTTGGGACATTCCGTGGTTTTGACTCCTGTAACCAAGACTTGCTCAGGATAGTCACCAACGAAGCAAGCAAATAAGGGATGACTGCGACACAGGATACCATTGCCACTCTTCATGACAATACCATCTAAGCCAGCTTCCTCCAGTGGTGCTAAGACACGGCCCATGCAGGCATGATACAGATTTGCAATGGTTCGGCGTCGTGAAGCCTGGTTGGTGATGTGCTCGAGACGGGTAGTAGGAAGATAAGCGAGAAGAATATGGGCACGGCGAGATGGCTTTCGGCGGATTTCCTTTGGAATGTTGCCAATAGTAAGGTAGACTGGGTAAGCCATTTTATTTCGGAACATTGTTACTTGAGTCTTGTCACTCGAAATAATAATTGGAATGATGGTAGCACCCGGTTTGCGCTGATCAAGCTTTTTCTATTTAATGTCAGTTATTTTCGATGAGCAGAAGTCCCCAAAATGCGAACTTACCTGAGTATCCCACCACCATTTACCAGTATGCATATCATGGAATAATCGGACAGTTTGTTCCTCATCTGCATAGTGGCGTTCCGGTGCAAAGATTAGAAGATCGGCAAAATCTGGGTCACCATACAGAGCCTTAACACATTCGATAACGTCCCTATAAAAACGTCGAAAGCCTCGCCTGCGACGACAATTTGTTCACGCCTGAACTGTGGGCGACCAGGAAGCTGCTTGTCGATGATCTTATTTAATTCCCTTGAGTTCTTGTAAGAAAGACCAAGCTTTTCATGGAACCCTGTCAACAAAGATAGACACATTACCCACAGCTCAAAGGTGATATTAATACCATTCACTGACTTCACTGATATCCAAGCAAGTCCGGAAAATGCGGTTGAAGTTGGGCCACGTAATTTAGCCCATCGTGCAATTTCCCAATCCACTCGAGAGGCGAAGGGGGCATATGGATTT